GACGTATCAATACTGACGCACGCGTAACTCGTTCGAGACGGGTCCTCCAGAATCAACATCTGTATTGACCATTTGTTTAGTGTGTCACGAATTGATGTTGTCCAGCGAACTCGTCTTCTGATTTCACGTTACAAAATGGCGTCGCGGGCAGGATCGAAGATCTCCAAGCCGACTGCGCGGGAGCTGAAGGACAGCAAATTGCCGTGTCCCAGCTCCAGCAACTCCGAAGATATGGTTGACAACATTGTGAGGAAGATATTCGCCAGTAATGCGCTCAATCTGAATGTTACTCCGCCGTTGCCCCCACCAGAGAAGTTCACCGCGGGCTGCAACTACCCACAATGGGAACTCCAAGCTCGTGCTTACATTCGGAGGTTCCCAAAGGAAGAACAAGGTGTTGCCCTGCCAGGTTTGCTGACCAGAGACGCTGCGGATCGCGCATTCCAAGCCAACGTCTTCGACGGCGATGACCTGGAAGCCACATTCGCTCAGTTACGTGAGCTGCTGGACACGTCGCTACATCCTGTCGAATATCAGACGCAGTTCCACACGGCGCGCCAGGAGATGGGCGAGACAACCGAAGCGTACGCGTATCGTGTGAGGCAGCTTGTGGCGAAAGCGTTTCCGAGGGACACGAGCGAAGGGCAGGAGCGCCGCGCATTGGAACGCTTTGCCTCGGTTCTATGAAACGCATGGAAATTTCTCTTTCATTTTTTACTAATGATCAATAGTCTCGACTGCGTCAGTTGGCTTTTAAATGCTCCAACAATAAGGGTGGAATTAAAATGGCCCCAATTCACTTGGAAGTTGATGGTTCCCCAATATCGCTCAAACGTCACATTATATCACTTGGTTTCCGTGAGACCCTGAAGAAAGTTCTGGACGATTTGGTTGAGAAGGGTATTTTAACACCTATGAATTCTTCCGTTTGAGCTACCCACATTTTGGTTTCGTTGAAACGTGATGGTAAAACACCCAGGATTTGTGGGAATTACCGTATCTCAATCAACAGATATTCAAAGCAAACTAGCTGCTTAACCACTGAACCCAAAGACATCCTCCATTGATTTCACGGATGAAATTTCCTTTTCAAACTGGACCTAAAAGATGCATTTCTTCAGGTACCACTTGATGAGAAATCTAGTGGATTGACTATAATTAACACACCATTTGGTTTATTTCGTTATTTCATTTTTACCGTTTGGTCTTAGTGTTTCACCGGCTATATTTCAGAATGTTGTGAATTCTGTTATTTCTGGTTTGGATGGAGTTTCAGCTCACCAAGATGACATTATCGTGCATGCACCAACCAAAGAACTAGATGATAAGCGTCTAAGCTTACTGCTCAAACGCTTTAATATACATAAGGTTGCTAGTATCGCAGATAAATGTATCTTTTCTACATCAGAATGTTTTCTGTCTGGGTTTTCCTGTTGATGAACATGGTTTTCGTCCTGATCCTACTCGGTTTACATCTCTTTCTAATGCGAAGTCGAAGTGACCATCCTCGTATCCGCTGCAGTATGGCTGTTCCCTTTCCATTCCGTTCACGTGAAATATCGTTGACGTTAGGAGCTCATGAATCCTGAGTGTATCCCGGCTGCCACTCAAGGGATAGCCTCATCAGAGGCACATCATGGGGTTGTAGCGTCGTGAGACTTGATTCATGATAGACTTCTGACTCTCACCAATAGATTCGCACCTGTTTCTCGTTGGGTCAAGGACCACCTCACCTTAGTAGTCCAGGCAATTGTCAAAACGCCCTGATTAGAAAGCCGGTCGCTTGGTATCGGCTCTATACCGAAAGAGGGTAGTTACAGTAGTTGCAGGTATGCAAGACCTTCGACCAAAACCTCCTTGATGTAAAGAGGGAGTTTGAACTCTCTCTGGTTAAGAAGACAAAAAGCTTCTTTAAGGTTTACAATGTATACTCCCAGGCCAAAGCAACTACAAAAGAAGCAGTCGGTTGTATTAGATAGAAGGACAGAACCCCCGCCATGGCACACTGCAAAAAGGCCACAGCCTTGTGTAAGAGCTCACAGGATCTACACACCGTGGATTAGGGCTTCTTGCAACCCACCTAACAGCCAGTGGGATCAACGGTAATGGAGGAAGTCACTTTCCTCCCGGAAGATGTGGGAGACCCTGTGCAGTTTGGAATGGGGCAAACCTGCGAGTCTGGTTGAAGTCTCCCCGGCTCTGCCGAGGCACCTAGTAAGGGTGCTAACAGCGCCTTTATCTCGGCTTTTTAACCAGTCTATGGCAACCCTCAACTTGCCACAAGACTAGAAGGTAGCTACTGTGGCACCAATCTATAATGAGCAGCTGGTCACCAACTATATGCCCGCCAGCTTACCCTCAGTGATCCTCAAGTTTGTGGAAAAGATCATCAGGATTAAGATTCTCATCTACTTCACCAAATGTAGCCTGCTGGCAGAGGCGCAGCACGGCTTCCGTAGTGGCCAATTTTGTCTCACCAACCTACGGGAATTCCTGGAGCTCATGACTAGACAGTTATAAACGGGAGTGAGAGTCGAATTCTTCTATTCCGACTTCAGTCGGGCCTTTGACTCCGTATATCATTGGCTGCTGCTCGGCATGCCAGGAACCATAAAGATCCACTCTAGTTTAGTCAGATGGACTGAGAGCTACCTGACAGGGAGAACCTTTCGCGTTAGGGTGGAGGAGGACTGATCGGACTGCGGGCATGAATACAGCNAATGACTTAGTCCCCCGCCCATCAAACCCGTCGTTCATCTTTGCGGATGACGTCAAACTTCTTCGCTTGTACCTAGGTGTCGACTCCTAGCTTGATCTAGATGCAGTGCAAGCATGTTCTGCAGAATGAGGCCTTCCACTGAATGCAGCAAGGTGTGAGGTTCTTCTATCCGGGAGTGATCAGGAGGGCATGATCATGGAAATAGTGCAAGAAATCAGGGACCTAGGGGTCACCTTGAACTCCTCTTTAAACCCAGTACTGTCTAGTTGTGGTACTCACAACCTACAAAACGCTGTTCATGTTGAAGAGGACTGTGAAGTCTTCCTGTTGCACTGGTCCCGATCTACACCTTCAGTAGTTGAATACGTTCTAACTGAAATGGAGAAAATTGTGGTG